AAGGAGATGCAATGCAGATGTTGACAAAATGTATAAACTCTGTCCAAACATCCTTTATAAGATCTATTTAAATATTTTTCCTCTATATTTTCACCTTTAATATCCAGTCAGTGCCGCTGTTTTTCATTTGTTTGTTTTGCCCTCAGTGTCTGAGCTTCAAAAAGGAAAGAAAACTGCTTTGATGTTTGATCTGCAACTTTAATATCTTCAGCTACTCACAAACTCTAACCCTAAATCTAAACCTAACCCCCCCCCACCCTCCAAAAAACCTGACTGCAATGTTTAGATTACTGGCCTTGGCTGGGTGCTTGACTGTAGGGGTGTGGTAGGGGTAGCGGAGCTCTACGATACTAATTAGAGCCCTGACCAATATGGAAATTTTGGCTATCTCTGATACCAATATTAAGAGGGGCAGGCGCCTGCCGATAACCAATAGAATGGCTGAAAATTTTTATCTTTGTCCACCACAAGAATCTAAGAAAGCAATGAGTGGATTGTGCCTTGTTTATTTAGCACAGCTGTTAGCAACCATGAAGCTAAGCTAATCAGAGCCACCTATATGTAGACTCACAGTAGGTTTACAAGTGGTGCACTGGTCATAAAAACAGTCTTCCTAACATGTGTTCACATTTTCTGTTTTCCAAAATTCACCATAAAGTTACCAAGTGTGTTACAAAAATATAAATTAAACAAAGAAACATCCTTCCCTGTTCATTGTTTAGACAGTCAGTCAAGTATGGTGAAGGTCTAATTAATACTGACGGAGCAGCGTTTTTTTTTTTTGTAGAAAAGATTTCAGACAAACGATGCATTTCACTAAGGACGACAAAGATAAGTCATTAACACTGATATATATTTACCGCTACATTAGATTTATTGTTCTGGATAAAAGTTTACAAGACAATAGCCTATGGTAGGTTATCTAAACGTTAGCTTGCTAACTTGAGAGGCACGCAGCTAATGCAGGTTGGAGGATTGAAGAGAATTAATTATTGTTGATTTTTTAACAGATCAGTTTAAATAAACTTACCATCAGCAAAATACACTACACCATATTGTTCCCTGCTTTGTCTGTGCTGAATGTGAAAGTGAAACTTAAAATGACTGGCCATGAATTAAAAGTAGTTTTCATGCGCCCTCTGCTGGATACATTGAACAAATACAGCTGTTCTATTTTGTATAGGCTTCGCCTTTTAAGGCCTTCACTATTGGGTTTATCCCGTCATGCAAAGCATCGCACTGAAAAGTTTAGTCCACGCCCACCTGTTGTGTGGGCCCCACCCGGTCCGTATAAATTACGTTAAGAACGGGTAATCGGCTCACATTTTTCTTGAGCAAGCTAATAGCACTGTCAGAAGAACGAAGAAGGGAATGTTGTCCAGCTTGACCAGCACAACCTTTGTTAGGGCTGCCTGGGGTCCCGCCACGCCATCCTCCTGCCGTCCCGGTGAGTTCTCCTCCCCGAGGAGAAGTAGACGAGCAGCCTTGTTTCGAGTTA